TATGCATGCAAAATTTGACTTGACCAAACTGCGTGGACTTTTGCAAAAATAGCAAAAAGAACGTGCAGATAGTGTTTCAGGGAAATGATTACCTCAAATGTATTTGACAAGTTAATTTGAAAATTTTAAATAATGAAAAATAATAAAACTGTCGATAACTATAGACTGTCGATAATTGAAGCACTTGCTCTATATTTTTATATTTTGATAAGGTTTTTTGTATTTTTATAGAAAATTAAATATATGCGTACCGACAAGAAAAATTCGAGTGCAACGGTATTGTTACTGTTACGTTGACACCGACAAGAAAGATTTGTTATTTCCAATATAATATAAATAATATAATCAGTTGCAAAAGTTGTGGTCAGAATATCTTATAAACATGTTTCAACCTTATCTGTAGTCATAAAATAGTTTTTTCATGACATTGCATGAATGTATATGCAACCGACAAGAAAAAAACAGGGATCATGCGTAATGAAGATTTACCGACAAGAAATTTGAGAACGAGCTGTAGTGTAGATGTAGAACATGTATATAATCTTTTTTTTGTAATTAAATAACTTTTTAAGACTTTAAACTTTCAAATTGTAATGCATATAAGAAAAAATATTTGTGTTTATTCCATTTAGTTTTTAAAATATATTTTAACAAATCGATTACCGACAAATTAAACATTCTCACATCACATAAACCATTATTTTATAGTCAAGTATATAATTTTTTTATAATATAATCCATGTCATGTGTCATTTATGTATTATATGTTGTATTTGTAAATTTAATATGGTGATAAGCTTTTATGCTTAAACCAAGTAATAAAGTTTCTGTTCTGTTCTGTTTCAATGTACGAATTATCTCTTCTTCCACAGCTGTTCATTTCGAAATTGTTTTCGCACCTTTTCACCCTTAAAGTTTTCACAGCTTTGATTAAATTAAATCGCTCAAAAGCTAACTGAGTGAGAAACACCCCAAGACACCCTAAGACACCCCAAGACTATCCTAAGACACCCCAAGACTATCCCAAGACACCCCAAGACTACCCCCAAGACTATCCCAAGACACCCCAAGACTACCCCAAGACACCCTAAGACACCCCCAAGACTATCCCAAGACACCCAAGACTACCCCAAGACACCCAAGACTACCCCAAGACACCCCAAGACTACCCCAAGACACCCCAAGACTACCCCAAGACACCCCAAGACTATCCCAAGAGACCCCAAGACTATCCCAAGACACCTTAAGACACCCAAAGACTACCCCAAGACACCTTAAGACACCCAAGACTATCCCAACACACCCAAAAACTACCCCAAGACACCTTAAGACTACCGCAAGACATCCCAAGAATCTTCTTAATGGAAATTAACTTATAAATTGGAAAAGTTTTATAAATATACGACCCTTAGGAGATAATCTCAGGGGAGTAACTAGGTACAACCGATATCATTATTGGATTTAACTCCATGGAGTTGTGAAACAGGTTGGAATAAAAAAAATAAGATGTAATTCTTGTGTTTCTTCAATCATATTTTAATAATATGTTTGTTTGTATGTGTTTGTATGTGTTAACTAAAATATAGCTTGAATTACATTGCAGCGACAATTAATCGATTAATTAATCAAAAATGCGTCACTCATAAAATGACATTGTCGCAGAAATAACCTTACACTACATCAAAATAGAGTTATAATCAGCGCCATTAGGTTGATAACTTGTTGACACGTACGTGTGATATCCCTGAGAAGGGAGATAATTCTATACATGTGAAAACATAGTTACCTCCCGTGAACACTGTAAAATAAGATCGTAATTACATATCAGTTAAACAAAGTGTCTTGGGGTAGTCTTAGGGTGTCTTGGGATAGTCTTGGGGTGTCTTGGGATAGTCTTGGGTGTCTTGGGGTAGTCTTGGGTGTCTTGGGTGTCTTGGGGTAGTCTTGGGGTGTCTTGGGATAGTCTTGGGTAGTCTTGGGGTGTCTTGGGATAGTCTTGGGGTGTCTTAGGATAGTCTTGGGGTGTCTTAGGGTGTCTTGGGGTGTTTCTCACTCAGTTAGCTTTTGAGCGATTTAATTTAATCAAAGCTGTGAAAACTTTAAGGGTGAAAAGGTGCGAAAACAATTTCGAAATGAACAGCTGTGAAAGAAGAGATAATTCGTACATTGAACAGAACAGAACAGAAACTTTATTACTTGGTTTAAGCATAAAAAGCTTATCACCATATTAAATTTACAAATACAACATATAATACATAAATGACACATGACATGGATTATATTATAAAAAATTATATACTTGACTATAAAATAATGGTTTATGTGATGTGAGAATGTTTAATTTGTCGGTAATCGATTTGTTAAAAATATTTTTAAAACTAAATGGAATAAACACAAATATTTTTTCTTATATGCATTACAATTTGAAAGTTTAAAGTCTTAAAAGTTATTTAATTACAAAAAAAAGATTATATACATGTTCTACATCTACACTACAGCTCGTTCTCAATTTCTTGTCGGTAAATCTTCATTACGCATGATCCCTGTTTTTTTTCTTGTCGGTTGCATATACATTCATGCAATGTCATGAAAAACTATTTTATGACTACAGATAAGGTTTGAAACATGTTTATAAGATATTCTGACCACAACTTTTGCAACTGATTATATTATTTATATTATATTGGAAATAACAAATCTTTCTTGTCGGTGTCAACGTAACAGTAACAGTACGCGTTGCACTCGAATTTTTCTTGTCGGTACGCATATATTTAATTTTCTATAAAAAAATACAAAAAAACCTTATCAAATATAAAAAATATAGAGGAGCAAGTGCTTCAATTATCGACAGTCTATAGTTATCGACAGTTTTATTATTTTTCATTATTTAAAATTTTCAAATTAACTTGTCAAATACATTTGAGGTAATCATTTCCCTGAAACACTATCTGCACGTTCTTTTTGCTATTTTGCAAAAGTCCACGCAGTTTGGTCAAGTCAAATTTGCATGCATTTTACAACCGTTGCATCAATTTGTTTACTAGACAGGACAGCTTACGTCACAGGGTAAGGCAGTCAGTTACGTAATATCTGAAAGTTGTGATTTTCGCTTTATTTTTCCGAGAGTTATTCCACTTTGTTTAGTCTTATATTAGATGTGTATGGGTTGCAGACCACTAAATATGCAATATTAACAGTATTGATACAGTTGTAGGGGGGTGTCGATAACTACGTCCAGTAAACAGATAGGTCTACAGTTATCGACACATTGCAAATTTTAAATAAAAATTTATGTTTTTAAAACAATTTTATTGAAGAGTATAAAAATAATGTAACTATATAGTATATCAATGTTTTATTCAATTATCCATTTACATATAATGTTCAACAGTAAACATTTAGTTCTACCTCAGACAAATTTTAAACTTTAAAGTCATAAAGATGATAGGTTTCAATACAGTCATGAAAGAATATTACTCCTGTTCTAGATGTCATCTCAAAATCATAAGAGGGTCCAATACTTGCCACCCAAAATGAGGGGAAGTTGAAGTCAACTATGAGATGTAATGGATGTCGAAGGTAAAGGCTGCCAGGCTATATGGGGTTCCAAGGACCACCCTTTTAAGATAACCATTTGGGAAGAGTTCCTGAAATGCCAACAAGGCCCGGACCTCCGTCAGTTTCGACTCCTGCTGAGGAGAAAGCTCAAATTTATAAACTATGCAAATCTGATGGCAAAAGTTTTACCTTGAATTTTGGAATATACTCTGTTGAAATCAGAAAACAAACATTATATGCTGAAATAATCTATGAAGTGCACCTTTTAATGCTGTTATGGTTCATGTATTTTATACTACAAATGTATGTAATTTTGATAACTTCTTTACTAAATATTTCAAAACAAATGTCCTTATATATATTAATAGGTTCTTCATCTATTTAAACTCATTTGCCATGACTATGAATCTTTATTTTATATTTCAGGTTATTCACTATCCAAGAAAGAGATTTTGACTAAGTTCTTAAGTGATCAGGCCTTTTCCCCTTAATATCTCCTGAAGGCAAGTGGGTCCATCTGACTCTGAGCTTATAGTAGCAACTACATATACTTCAACTGTCTCAGACAAGTCTTCTGCCTTTAATAAACTCATTATCCCTGAAATAAAGAAAAGAAAAGTCAATTCCATTAGAAATAAAATCCCAAAAGTGTTGTAAGGTTCTATTGCTTTGAATTTGTTAATGTGAGAGAAAGTAAGAGAAGACCAGAAAAAGAGGAGTAAGAAAGATAGAAAGATAAAGCAAGAAAAGTGAGAGAGGAAGAGAAAGAAAGAAAGAGTTGTAAAAGATAAGAAAGAAAATGAAATTGATAGAAAAGAAGAAAAAAAGTAGAGGCATATATATGCCAGCAATACCTCTTCTGAGGAAAATATACCATACATGGATTCCGATGATGATGATGATGTTGGTGGTGGTGGTGGTATTCAAATGCAATGGTTTGTTGAATTAACTATGTCTGTATGTTATCTTATACTTACATCAAAGGTATGTTACCTTAAACATGTACTTACATCACAGTCTTTACTATCTCTGCTTACATCAATACATCTGAATAAAAAATTGAAATTGGTTATTGACTTATCATTTTTCTTAAAATTTAGGGGTCTGCAACTTGGGTTCAAAGTTCAATTCAATTAAAAAAATAAACTGCAAACACATGTAAATCACGATTTATTAATTTAAGTAAATACTTTTTGCAATATAATGATTGTCATGATATTATAAAACATAATTATTATCAATATGTCCATTAAAAAGGATTAGTGTCCTCAATTAAAAAGTACCTGTCGATAATTGCGTCCATGTGTCGATAACTACAGCCTTAGAATTAGTAGTTACTACCGAGTGTCACGCTGTGTAAAAATAATTGGAACCGGGAAATACCCTTCTAAACAACCAATCAACGATTGTTTTTGTTTGTTTGTAATATATAGGCTCTTGTCGGTTCTTGTCGGTTCCTGACGGTTCTTGTCGGTAATTAGGGAGACCCCCTTAGTGACATGCGCAAAATAATGTTTTAGTGGGAAAAACCCACACGTTACTTATATTTTATATATTTAAAACATTTTTAGAATGAATTAATTGGTTGAATACACATTAATTTAAACTGACACTAGCATTCTTAACGTGGTGCGATGGCGGATGGTAATAATTGTTTAATATCTTTATCTTTTAAATATTTATTTTTTAAAAACAAGATAACACATGAAGACTAAGCATCGTAAATAAAACAAATAACATATCTTTACTATAATAAAAAGGAAGTCAAACTACTCTAGCTACCTGTATTCCATTATTAAACTATGTAACTGAAGATAAAACGTCTACTGTAACGTTACTCTAATTTTATTGAAATCGCGGTAAGTTTTATTTTTTGTTTTCTGTTTCGAATGGATTTAAATTTACAACAATAACAATCATGGACTTACGTTTACGATCTGCTGTATTTGCGGAAGAACCTGTTTACATTATATAAGTCACGGACGGACGGACGATCGTTCATATCCAGTAATACTCGTATATGTTTCAGTTGTGTTTTAGGAACTTTAAAACACTTATAGACGATTTCAATTTTGTTGTAGGAAATTGTGAAAAAGATAATTACTACGATGCACCTACAGGGCAGTGTAGGGATTGTGGATGGCTATGTGACACGCCGGCTTCATATCCAGTTTCTTGTGACAGGCTTTGCCCAGGTAAGTAATTCTTTTTCATCATCTAAATGTTTATTCAAGGTTAACGAGTGTCTATCTTCCCTTTTATCTATTCAAAGCATGAACCAGTATGAACCTTGTAGTGTTAAAAATCTTACAAACCCAATACTGGAAAAAAACATGACTGTTGTGTGGAATTTATATAGGGACAAATGGTCAAGTTGTTATGTGATGAAAATAACGTTAAAGTAGAATTTGTATTACGTATCATGTTATATTTACCCACTCTTTATTTTATGTTAATCAGTCATTTTGTTACTATTGTGACGTGGCTTCTAATAAAAGTGATTGTTGTTACTGAGCCCCAGTCCTTTCATAACTTAAAGGGAGAACAACTCCTCAAGTCATACTGATATTTTCCGTGCGAGTTGTCGCCCTTACTGCGCATCGATTCCCAATACGCTATATAAGAACTATACAATGCCTGAGCCACATATATGTATCATTAAAAGCGACATCATAATCGTTGAATAATATTTTCTGATTTCAACTGTTTCTTATTTCAGAGTATGGCGCAAAAAAACACGTGACTTCACAACCTCCTGGTCAAGATAATAGATGGGAGTTAAACATGCCTGTTTTGGTTATTATCGTATGCGCTGTTTTTATCCTCGTGGCATTATTATACTTGCTGTGGATGATGGTTTCAAAAGGAAGTTTCGTAATTTCCTTAAAGCCTTCCGTAACAGAAAGTAACCACACCCTGTCCAAGCTCAAAAATGTCATGGTGGGTTTCAGCTGGAAATGATACTACTTACCGGCATTGGCTCTTATCTTGAAAAACGACATAGAAGCAAATGGGCAAAGAATTGACGAACCTAACTCAGTAACAAGTGTTTTATGAATAGTGATAAAGAAAATCTAAAGTGTAGAATAAAGTGTTGATACAAGTGAAATAAATAACGCGCAAAGTGAAACAAATCAATTGATCGCGCATCTGAGTAAATATAATTAAATCGCGCATCTGAGAAACAGTACCAAATCCTGCATCTGAGAGACAAAATAATGATATCGCGCAACATGTAAATAATAGTGCAAAGACATTGGGTGCAATGAACATTTAAGGTGATTGTGCCATCATGCACTACATATCTATTATCGCGCATAAATATCATATCCCACATTAGTGACAAAATCTAGTGCAAAGACATTGGGCACAATATGACCAATTAAGGCACTTGTGTCAGCACACTAGTAACCCCAAACATGACAAAAAAGAAAACCCGAACATGACAAAACTAGAAAACCCCGATGATGACAGAAAGAAGAAATAATATTGTACAACTTTTTATCATATTATATAGATAATATTATTACAATAATTTTTCTATTCCAGGACATGACATTATAATCATTTAACTCTCATCTTTTTATCTACATGATGCATAGATCTCATTTATAGATATTTCTATTTCCATGTAACATGAGGTTAATAATTATAATTTAAAAATGTTTGTATATTTTGTAAATATGTTCTTTATTCGTTCTTTAAGTAGATTTGTTAGTTTATTATTTTATACTTTATAGTTTCATCCTTATATTATATTGACATGAACATTTTTTACATGATAATATGCTATTTCTTTGAGGTATCTTAAATACAGTTTAAGTTCAAGTTTTATGTTGAAAAAATTTATTGCTTTTCGCAATAAATTTTTTCTTTTTCCAAAACCGGTGTATTGTTGTAAAGTTGGATTCCAACTACAACAGGTTATGTAATCATTACATAATGTTGTGTAATATTACTCAAGAAGTATAACATGTAAAATCTTAAGGAATATTTTTCAAGAAATATTAAGGTTTTAAGCTTTAACTTAGATTTAAGTTTATTTTAAAGTTTAATCATATTGAACATTGTTTTGTTTTATAGACACTTCATTCTTATCATTCATTAGTTTAATGTTAATTATAGTTTGTAGAACTTATTGATACACTCTTTAACAGTAACTTAGCATGGCCTAAGACTCTTTACATACAATATATAGAGAATCAGGTTCTACTTTCAATTACACTGGCCTTTAAACTTAGTAAGATACATATTGTTAATTTAGCATTTGCATGATTAATATATGTTTGTAAATATGTTTAGTTGATATCAGTTACTAGTTTTATTGTTACAAATATTTTGTTAAACTTTATTATTTTTATAATCATGGTCAATTGATACTGTTGCAAAATTTTCCATGAATCATAATCTATTTTTAGAATAGTTATGTAAAGTACTGACAAGTAAAATGGTTTCCTGCGGGGAACATTTTTGATGATATAAAGATATTTCATTTAACTATCTTCAACATTGTTTGGGTGGGTGGATAAATAAACGTTTGTATCAAGAATATACATTTAGTTGACAATAATCGATCAATATAGAAGAAGGTCTTTGGAAACTGGTGACCGTTAATGACCGGAATTATTTCCCCTTTGAACTTAGATGTTTATATGCCCCTGAAGGGTGCCATATTAAAATCGAACCGTCCGTCTGTCTGTCTGTCAGGCTTCATACATATAGACAGTGGAGGTAGTGTCTGAAACTTCAGTATGCATGAAAGTATTTTAATTTTTCTTTCATATATGAAATAACCATAGATGTATGGTGAGTCGCGAACAAGACTCGGGTTTCTACGACTAAGGTCAAGGTCACTGTGGGGTTCAAACTTTGTCATTTTTTATGTTATGTAAATATAGAAGGAGGTGGTCCTGTCCGCTTTAAAACCTTCAGTATTCATGAAAGAATTTTAATTTCTCTTTCATATATGAAATAACCATAAATGTATGGTGTGTCACGAACAAGACTCTGGTTCCTACGACTAAGGTCAAGGTCACTGCGGGGGTTCAAACTTTGTCATTTTTTATGTTATATAAATATAGAAGGAGGTGGTCGTGTCCACTCTGAAACTTCAGTATGCATGAAAGGATTTTAATTTTTCTTTCACATATTCAATAACCATAGATATATATGGTGTGCCACGAACAAGACTCATGTTTCTACAAGGTCAAGGTCACTGTGGGGTTCAAACTTTGTCAATTTTGATGTTAATATACATATAGGCAGAGATGGTCGTGTCTGCTCGAAAACTAATGTGAATAAAAGGATTATATTTTTTATTTCGCATATGAAATTATCATAAATGCATGATGTTTTGCGCTTAAGACCCGTGTTCCTACGCCTTAGTTCAAGGTAACTGCTGGGGTTTAAACTTTTTTGAATATTTATGTTATATACATATAGCTGTGAGGTATGGGGTAGCATACCATCGGAAAATTTGGAAATTGTACATAGGAAGTTCTGTAAATGGTTGCTTAATGTGAAAATGTCAACAAATACTCTTTTATTATTTGCAGAAGTAGGCCGATTTCCATTATATATTTCACGTCATGTAAGAATTGTTAAATATTTTATAAAAATATATCAAAATAACACAAGCTATTGTATATGAAATTATATCGTTAATTGTCAGAGATTGGAGATAGAGTCAAAGTCTAATACTGTAAATCGGTTGTCTAAAGTCAAAGGACTTTTGCAAAGTGCTGGATTAAATGATGTGTGGATGTATCCAGAATCAGTTAAGCTAAATATATTTATACCAGTCCTACATGGTCGTTTAAAAGATATTTATATCACAAGTACATATTTGTTCTTCTTTGTATTTGTATAAACATATCAAAACCGATTTTAGCAGGTCTAAATACCTGGTTATTGTTGACTCTATGAAATTAAGAACTATATTAGCTAAACTTAGATTATCATCTCACAATTTATTCATAGAGACAGGTAGACACAATAATATTGATAGAAATGACTGGAAATGTACTTTTTGCAACAATAATGACATCGAAGATGAATATCACTTTGTATTGATTTGTACTTTGTATGATTCTCTTAGGAAACAGTATATATCCAACTATTTTACAAGAAACCCTAGCATGTTTAAATTCTTAGAATTGCTGAATTCAGAAAGGAATACAGTGTTAACAAAATTAGCTATATATTGTAACAAAGCTTTCAAATTAAGATTTGATTCATTGAATGTCGGATAATGTTATATAAGACCACCTTAGTTATATAAGGATTGTATATATTAAATGATTGTGTTGTATTACACTCGCACTAGTTTATTTCATTTATTGATATGCATTTACCATTTTTCATATTCATGCATGTATATATTTGTTGTATATGAAGATGAGCTGTATATGCTT